CAAACCAGTCTGGGATTCTGTGCTATCCTTCTTCCTTGAATCTTTTCTCTACTGTGTCTGTGCCTCTACACCCCAAAAGGTGTTTGCTGCCCATGAGGAGCCGAGAGGATGAAATGGTGCCTGGCAGGAAGGCTGCTGTGTGCAGGGACACCTGTGGCTTTTAGGGGTGGAGGGATGTACCTCTGGGACGCAGAGCTGCTGCCACTGCTGGCTCCTGCTCTGGGCACTGTTTGGCTCCCTGTGCTCTGCAAAGGCACAGATGGGCTTGTCTGGGGCAGCGAGTGCTCTTGGAAACACCTGAGCTCCTTCTAAACAATCAATAAATTCCCCCAAAGCAGACATTCTGTCTGGAGCATTTCAGAGCAGACCGTGAGTCTCACCAAGCAACAGGGCCCCGAGAGCAGGGCTGTAATGGAAACTGCCAGGTGAGTGATGCCAGGGGATGGATTACCCATTCTGTCTGTCACGTGTGTGTGCATTAATGACTGTCTTTTGTAAGGGGAAGCCTTTTTTATCACCCTTCCCCATGAAAGGCTTTTCATTCTTATTATGAATTAAAGCTCAAGTCCATTCTTATTTAACTCATCCCTTTAATCCTAGAAAATGCTGTGCCTGGCAGAAGGCTCCCATTTCCCAATAGACCATAATGAAAAAAATGACGTGAAAAACATTCCAAGTTTTAAGAACATCTCTGTTCTGCCAAGAAGACTGTGCCTGTGGAGAATATTGTCTGTTTTGATAGTAAAACTACCTGTCCACTGCACAGAGGCCTTGGAAAGTTATCCTTGGTAACTACTGCAGAGGTGCTAACTTACAGGCTGGCAGGATTTTAAAGGATGTTTTGGTTTTTATGGGCTTAAATGTAAAAACTGAAACTGCAGGGGAAAAAATCACCCCAAAATGATGAACTCGTAAATTAGGTGGACTTGGTTTCTCCGAATGCTGGGAAAACACACTTCAGGTGCCTGAAGATATTTAGTGCTGTCTGGCTGAAGGAATAGGCAGGATATTTAATAATGTGGGAAATATTTCAATTAGCCAAGCCTACACACTCACAAAAGTATAATATTGAGGTGGGAAGTGTGAGCTCACTCTGTAACACTTTCCTGGGGATGAGGAGGTGGTGGGAGAGGTGCCATGCAGTTGTCATCAGGGGCTCAGCCTGCACAGACAGGTGCCTGGAATCTGGACTTCAGTTTGTTTTTAAACAAAATACATTTCTGACAGGCTTGAAAGGAGCAGAGTGTGTAACTTTGGAGAGCTAAACATTCATTCTCTTCTTTGTTGTGTGAATGGCACAAACACCCAAACTCATTCTCATCCCTGGAAGTGTCCAAGGCCAGGTTGGACGGGGCTTGGAACAACCTGGGCTAGTGGAAGGTGTCCCCCCATGGCAGGGGCTGGCACTGGATGGGCTTTAAGCTCCCTCCCAGCTCAAACCATTCTGGGATTTCTTGTTCCGGGGAGTAGTTTTATTTCGTGATTTCTGATCAAGGATGTCTCTGTCAGTCCAGCTTTGTTAGAACACACCCACAGGGCAGCTCTATCCCCTTTCTCTCATGGGTGTTGCTGTGATGCTGTGCCCCAGCTCCTCCTCAGAAATTCAAAATAGGACAGTTCATTCCAAGGCAAGAGCTGCAGTAATTAAGATCATGGGCTTCAATCTGTCAACTGCATTCCAGGGGATAGCTCCTGGCATGAGAGGAATGGGATGCTTTTTGATGTTATCTATGAATTGTGCCTGTCATTGACTCCAAAACAAGCTTTAGTCTGTGGACTGAAGTGGCAAAGCAGCTTCTTTGTAACAGGATTGTGATACTTGAAGTAATTTCCTCTTCTTTCAGAACTTATTCTGGGTGTCAGCCAGGAAATATTGCTGCTTGCCTGATAGATAAGAAATGCAGAGCTGTACTGCAGGACTAATGCTGTTAGAACTGCAGCAAACATCTAATCTAAGATCCTTCTGCAGTGTAGAGGCCTTGCTTCTAATATTAAAATAAGAATAGTTCTGCATTCTGCAGGTTGCTGTAAGGCTATAGTGTGATGGAAGTTTTGTAGCTTTTCTGAATTTTTCAAGAGTCCATCTTAAGTAATTCAGAAGTATTAATGAGACAACATAAAGGCTAGATTTTCTCTGGTCAAATTAATTAAAAAAGTGTATAAGTGGATCAGTTTTGAAAAAAATATACTCTAAGTAAATACGTTTTTCCCCAAATATAAAAATTATACTTACTTTTTGAATTCTCTTATCACTAGAATCTTTCTGTGCCTCTAAATTTCCTTTCCAGAAAACGTTCCCTGTAGAAGAGACTTGTGTAAACATTATGTACAAAATATTTGGACGTAGGGATGGATCTGTGGGAGTCTGTGGCATTGTGCTGGCATTTCAAGGTTGTTTCCAACCTTAAGTGTGAAAAGCAATTTCACCTTATATTCTGTAACTATTAAAAAGAAGAGTAAAAATCCCTACTTTTTGTAATCCTTTTCACAACATTTCACTGTGATTTACCAGCAGAGGGAGATCGTGTTCTTGTTCTTCTTATTTTCACCCTGGTTGCCTCACTGGCTAAACCCTAATGAAAATCCTGCCTTGGCCAGTAGAATATGTTGAAATTTTTGGTAATATAACGCTTGTCAAGGACAAAATTTTAAGGTATCATTTAGGTTGGAAAAGGCCTCTGAGATCATCGAGTCCAACCATTGACCCAGCACTGCCAAGGCCTCCATGGAATCGAGTCCCAGAGTGCCACATCCATGTTTTCCGAACACCTCCAGGGACCGTGGCTCCACCACTTCCCTGGGCCACCTGTTCCAATGCCTGACCACCCTTTCCATGAGGAAATTTTTCGTAATTCCAATCTAGACCTCTCCTGGCACTTCCTCTCACCCCTGTTTTGTTACATCTCTACATCTAGTTCTCTCTAAATAGAATTGGATGTAAAGTTCAGGAGTGCACACATACCTGAGGATTTCTTGGAGAAATCCAACGGGAGATCTCCATGGCCTGGAAAAGGAGCTTGGGCTGGATGTGGACACCCCTGGTCAGTGGAGTTATGGACAGTTTAGGGGCCATGAACCCCACACTGCCTCAGGCACTGTATTTCATACACAGCCACAAGTCAGATGTGCACGATGACATGGCTGTGAGTAAAATAGCTTGGAATTGTGGATCATTGGCATGAATTTCCTGTGTGCAGAGTTTAAAAATTCAAGTATGGGATTTATTGACCTTATGAAACTGGTCTTGAAAAATGACCTTTATTGCATGGTCCTCGTTTTGCTTTCAGTGTGTGATACTGCTCCCATTGTTTTCATAAGGAAATACATTCCTGTTCTCATTTGACATTAAATACCTTGAAATCTCCATCCATCAGTTTATCTACTCCATTTTTTCCAAGGAAGCGGGGAATCAGTTGAGCAGGTCCTGCCTTGGCCCTGGTCTTGCCCCATAATTGCATTAATGAAGGCAACAAGCCTGCTTCTGAGCCAGAAACAAAACTTTTGACCCCTGCCTTCTATGTCATGATCACAGGATGGCCTGTTTTATGAACCAAATGTTTTATAACCAAAAGCAAAGTGATTTCATCTTGCAGATGAGGGATGATTCAGTGCTACAGTGGGGTGAAATGGTCTCTTGGCTCAGGCACAAGGTTTATTAAACAAACTACTCCAGTTGCTACAGCTACTTATGCCTGTGCCTCACTCCTTTTGTCTATTATGTGATAGTTTGAAATGTGTTGAACTCGGAATCAAACTGACGTTTAGATTGCAGCAAACTTCCGTGGTGCACAAAAAGAAGATTCAAAATGGCAAAGATTCCCTGTAGGACTTGTAGACTCTTCACAAGGTAGAACACACAGCATCTGAAAATGTCTCATTTTTACAACCTTTCCATCAAAAGCTGTCTGTCATCAGAAATGTTTGCAGCACACGGAGCATTCACCTGTCTGCTCTGATTCTGCTGTAAAGCTTTAATTGGCAAAGCCTTGAAAAACTAGAGCAGACTGAGTTTATAAATGAAGCAGGATCCCTAAAATACAGGATGGTCAGAATTCAGCCAGACATTATAAGTGTGAACAGCTCAAAACTGATTTCTGCTCCCAGCTTCTCTCTCTATACCTGAGGGGCAGGAGCAGGGAATATAGCTTTAGCTTGGTTTCAGATTCAAACCTTTTGGGAAAGTGGAGATCAGAAACTTGCAGTTCTTCAGAATCTGGATTATCTATAAAAATACCGGTTCCTACAGAGGTGATTTTGCTGGAATCCCAGGGTTTGTTTCCTTAACAAAAGTCATGTGGATTCTGCAGAAAGCCCACAATCTGAAGAGTCAGAAGCCAAAAGTCAGACCAAAGTTACACAGATCCCATTTTTATATTAAATCATAGTTTTTGTATTGTTGGTAAAGGCAATGCACCTCACAGGAAGATGGGAATCTGCTGGGGGTAAAAGGCTTTGAGATGATTTGGTGTAAGGGATCTGTGGTTCTGTCTGCAGGAGAGCTTTTAACCATCTCAAGTGACCTGCCTTGGTCTCTGAGAGCAGAGACAATCCTAAAAACATGCTGTCCAAGTGTGAGAGCAGCTGCACAGCTGAAAACCAGGAGTCACAGGCTGGAAGAAGGTCAGGGTTTATTTGATCCCTTCAGAGTCTGAACCCTCCTCACATGATTTCATTCATGTTACAGTATCTCCCCCCAAAAGTCTTGCAGGTCTTTTCATGGCCTCTGTAGATGAATGTGAAGATTATACCACATATAAGCACAGATTAATCCATCAGCCCTCTCTCTTTTCTGCACCTTGTTTATCTTTCCTTGCAGATCTGTTAGCAGCAGCTCCAGTGAGCTGCCTTACCTGCTTCCAGGCTCCCCAGCATACCTGCTAATTCCTGTTGTAGCATTCCTGTCCCAGGATGGCACTTTAACCCTGCCCTTCCCAAAAGCAGCACAGGTTCTGCCTGCACACAAGAAGTTGAGACAGAAAAGGTTCTTTTCAGAGCAGTGAATTTGCACCTCTCCTCTGCAGGACCAGAGTGTCTGTGTACATAAAATACACAGACAGGACGGGCTAAGAAAACTCTCTGTCAGTGAAGCAGAGAGATCTCACTCTGCAATACACACACTTCTCACAGGGAGAGCCAGAGCCACCTACCCAAAACCAACTGCAACCCCTCCCTCCTTTCCCACCATTAGTCGAGTTCAAACAGAGAAAAGAAGAAAAGGAGGGATGGGACTTCTAGGAGGAGTGGGAATAAAAGTTGTAAATGTGTGTGGAGTTCCAGAAGAAACAAAATGTTGTCAAATATCTGCGACAAAGCAGTCTGGAGTATCTGGAATACGTGCAGGACTTGCTGGCCAGGAGGGAGGTGTCGTGAGAAAGAGCTCTGGTAGTTGCAGCCTGCTGTGAGTGGTCCATGGGATCCCAGGAGGAGCATCTGCTTTGGTATCAACAGTTGCTCTGGATTAAAGAGCAGCATCAGCTTTAAAAACAATCATTTTGAGATTCTCCTTGAGATGAAAACTTCAGGTTTTGCAGTGGATTCTTGTTTACTATGAAGGAGAACGAATAGAGCAGCTCTTTCCTCATCAGCAGCCATGGGATAGTAACAATTTTTAGCTGAGAATTACAAAATGGGGCAGATTCAGACACAAGCTTAAAGGGTGAAAAGTACCTTATTTTCTTCCCAATCTTCTGAACTAGTATACAAATTTATTCTTTTTATTTGAGACAAGCTATGAAAAGAGAAGGAGTTAAATGACTTAACTCTTTACTTCACCTCATCTAATAATTTGCAACTATCAAGGATAAACATGTAGGGATATATATAAATATATATGGACTATTTGGGTTGTGCCATGCCATGCCATGGGCCTGACCTTGGAGTCCTTGTGGTGAAGTTCTCACCCTGGCACGTTGTCAAAATGTTACTGCAGAGCATGTCAGAAGGAACACAGGGATTTTTTTTCAATAGATGATTCTTTGGCAAACTATGAAAATAATTTCATTGGAGAAGAAGGAAAAAAAAAGTCATTCCTCTTGCTACAGGGCTTTCTTCCTGCAAATTTCAAAGGCCTGTTGTGAATAATAGTGTCTGTGCTTCCAAGCTTCAAGGCTATTTTATAGTGGAAAGTGTGAGGCAACCAAAATAAATATCAGTTTCCACTGTTACGAAATAAAGGTTTTGCTTTATGTTGCACCTTAAAAGCCACGTTCAAAGGCTTTTTTATAGAGACACAGCAGTGGGTATCCCAGAGGGTTATTTTTTCGTACAGGCACTAGGTTTGCTCTCGCTTGTCTACATTGAAACAAGGAATAATTTAAGACAGAAAGCACATGATGGCTTTCTTTATGAGGCAAAACCTATCAGGAATTCATCTTCTTAAAGGACTGAAGGCAACCCTTAAATCCAAATGCCGCCAGTCCCTCGGGTGCTCAAAATACATATTCCTATTTTATGGCATGAATGCATCTCTCCTTACAAGATCTGTGAGTATTTCTGACAAACCTGGTTCTACTTTCCTGCTAGTGGAGTTACAGATGAGGCAAGTTTTCCATGGTTTGGGGTTTTATTGCGAATGCTTCGCACAGCTCTGGTTATGTGCTTCCTTCTCATGACATCAGTGCTGAAGGGGAGAAAGAATGTAAACATCTGTTTTTTATAATTCAATTTCAGGCTTATAACTTGATTAGGATAAGCAGTGTTTCTACATGATTTATTTTCCAGTCACAATAATGTGCAGTTTTAGCACCAGTTTGAAGATTAGTAAAATAAGGATGGAAACTAATGAGGTAAATCCTGCTTCATGGTCCACCTTTGTGAGCTGCACTGAATGCTGAGCAAGGGCTGGATTTCCCTCCCCCTCGGTGTTTCCAGGGATGTCCTGTTGTGCAGGATGCAGCCCATGGAAGGCAGGCTTGTGACAGCAGCACTGAGGTGGGCTGGAGAACCGGCACTTTGGCTCCTGGCTCTCCCCAGAGCCCTTTTGTGTGGCCTTGGATCAGCCACCCAGGACCGGGTTTTGCCTGCTGGGATGTCACTGCATCCTTAAACAACTAAAGAGATTGAAATATAGGACCTTTAAACTCTTCCATTGCTCCAGCAGGGTTAAAACACCACTCAGGCCACTTCCTTTTCTTTGTTGTCCAGGCTTTTTCTTTCAACAGGGACTGCCAGTGCCTGGAGCCATAGTCCTAGTCACATTTTGGGGTCTTTACTACCCCATTAAACTATTAAAAGTGAGAATATGCTCATAGGTGCTGAGCAGGGCTTAGCAGTAGTTGTGGAACTGTAACTGAAGCCAAGGGAGAGCCGGGGCAGCAGCACATGTCGGAACGATTTCAGTCTCATAGCACGTGTTTCCAGTGATAAAACACTGAATGGAATCTCAGACTGGTTTGGGTTGGAAGGGACCCATCTTGTTCCACCCCCAGCCATGGGCAGGGACACCTTCCACCAGCCCAGGTTGCTCCAAGGCCCGTCCAACCTGGCCTTGGACACTTCCAGGGCTGGGGCAGCCACAGCTTCTCTGGGCAACCTGTGCCAGGGCCTCCCCACCCTCCCAGGGAACGATTCCTTCCCAATACCCAGCGTCACTCTGCCCTCTGGGGACGAGCCGAGCCAGCGCCGCGTCCTCACCTTTGGCAGCGGGGGGCACAGCCCCGGGGCCGTGCGGGGCAGCTCCGACCGCAGCTCTCGGCGCCCCTTCCCGCCGGGGAGGCGGCCAAGGGTGAGGGGGAACGGCCCTGAGGGGAGAGAGGGACTCCGGGTGAGGGAGAGACCCCGCGCTGAGGGGAGAGACCCCGGGCTGAGGGAGGGAACGGCCCTGAGGGAAGAGGGAACCCGGGTGAGGGCGGGAACCCGGGTGAGGGAGAGACCCCGAGGTGAGGAAGGGACCCCGAGGTGATGGAGAGACCCAGAGATGAAGGAGACACCCCGAGGTGAGGGAGAGACCCCGAGGTGAGGGGGGGACCCTGAGGTGAGGGCAGGGGCCACGGCGGGCCACGGGAGGCGTGTCCGGCGCTGGACCAGGGCGGGTCGGGCACCACGTCCGCCCGCAGCCGGGGCTCCCAGGGCGGCAGCGCCATCCCCATCCCGGCCGGCAGCAGCAGCCCCCGCGGCACGGCCGGGGCTCAGCCCTGTCCCTCGGGGCGGTGCTGCCCCAGCCCTGCCCGGTAGGGAAGGCGGAGCGGGGCCGCAGCCGCGCGCAGACAAAAGCGGCGGCGCTTCCTGCGCTCCGCCCGAGGGGAGCGGGCCGTGGGCACCGGGCCGTGCGCTCCCGGGCTGTCCCCGAGCTGTCCCCGAGCTGTCCCCAGGCTGTCCCCGCTGCGTCCCCGGGCTATCCCCGCTCTCCGCTGTCCCCGCCGTGTCCCGGGCCGGCTGTCCCAGGTGCCTGTCCCCGGGCCATGGCTCCCGGTGTGAGCAGCGGGGCTCGGGGCGCGGGTGCGGGCGCGGCGCTGCTGCTGCTGCTCGCCCTGAGCCCCCGCGCCGTGCCCGAGCCCGAGGCGGTGCCCGACGGAGCCTCCACGCTGGCCTTCGTGTTCGATGTGACCGGCTCCATGTACGACGACCTGGTGCAAGTGATCGAGGGCGCATCCAAGATCCTGGAGACGTCGCTGAAGAGACCCAAGCGGCCGCTGTACAACTTCGCGCTGGTGCCTTTCCACGACCCAGGTAGGGGATTGGGCACAATGGGCAGGAGCCGGGAAGGGCAGCAGGGAGCTCCCGCTCAGGGCCGGCTTTTATAAAAGGTTGTGTGTCCTGCGCTTCCAGGGACTGGAGCCCGGGTATTACTGTCCCATCCTGACCCTTCTCGCCGTGCGGGTCTCTCCGCCGCGGGAATTTGCCGGGGCGAGTAAGGCTTTGTGACCTCCACCTCCCTGTCTGTCTGCAGAGCTCCACAAAGCCTTCAGGATCAACTGGAGTGGGCTCGGAGTGCGCTGTGTGCGCCAAAGAGCAGCGTAGGGGATCAAATAATTGTCTTAATAATTCTGATACGAGCTGATGTGGCTTCAGTGACCTTCACGTGTAGTAGTAACGATGCTACTAAGTTTTTCAATCCCTTCTATGGGAATGCACTTAGGAACATACATAACGCAGTTACACTTTTCCTCCTGTCTTGTGGTCCTGTGTTTATATTCAGTAACTTGCAGTGAAACGATCCAGAAGTTTTACATGGTGTGGCTTGTGTGGTTTTTTTGTTTGAATTCTTATTCTTTTCCCTCCTTTTACCTTTTTTCGCTTCTGCTGTACATTGTGCCTTTTCTTCCAGCATCTGTTTTCTATTCCCTTCCTACCCCTTTTCTCTGGCTTTCTTCCTCTTCCCTTGTCAAATATCTTCTGCTGACTTGAAGAGGAAATAGGAACAGGATGCCCCAGGCTGGTGATGTGTGCTGTACTGTGCAGTAAAAACTCCCTGTTTAAAAAAAAAAAAAAAGAGAGAATCAGAAAGTGGGGGGAAAAAAAGCCTTGGAAATTACCTTTGTGGCTCTAGTTTCCATGGAATATCTCGGAATACGATATTCCAGAAGTCAATTCCTAAGAGTACCATTTTTGCAGGGATGATATCAAATGAAAAAAGACAGCCCTTCTATTTCCCCCAGTCACAGGCACTTCTGCTTACAAGATGTGTTTGCTATTGGCATAAATACCTTAAACCATATGCTTGGGAACTTAAGGAAAAACTTGTCTTTGTGGATTTTGCTGCTTTGCTATCTATAGGCTGTATAGGTTCTCTTTTTTTTTCTTATAAAGAGCCCATCATTGTGGTATCAGAGCATCCTATCCCAAAATGGTCTCTTGTACCTTACCTTTTCCACCTTTGCATCATTTTCTCTTTTCATCTTCTTTACCTCTTGGTTATTTTATGGAACAAACTTATATGGGACTTTAAAAGCATCATACCACAGAAGTGAACAAGAAGGGAAAGATTTTGGTCACGTGTAGAGCCTGGAAATCTTTTATATCCTTCTGGAAAATCAAGCTGATAGATCTCCTTGGATGGAAGATCAACAGGATGGGTTGGGAGTGCTTTGGTTTAATTTTCTCTCTATAATAGCTCTTTATACATCTTCAATGATCAGAAAGGGATTCACTCTGAGAGCTGATAGATGTGTTTTTCAGAGGGATTGTGTAAATACTGCAACCACGAGAGCAAGAAGATGAGCTTGTGGTGCACTTTTGGTTTGCAGGTTTGGGAGGATGGTCCTTTGTTCTTGTGCATCCCAACACTCAGCTTTCATCCCAGGCCACTTTCAAATCATTTCAACAGCTCCTTGTTTCTTTCTCATCCCACAGTTTTTCACCCAGTTTTTTGTCTGCACATGGTCTCCTTTTCTGTCCTTTTTTTCCCCCACCCTCCTCACTTTCTCGCTCCCAGTGTCTCTCTGGGATCTTTGCTTGTGTTGCAGACGGAGTCCTTTATCCCTGCTTTGCTCTACCACCTCTCCTTGCTCCGTCCAAACCTCACCAGCAACAAATCTCCTGCCACCTTCCTCTGCCTGAGTCACATTTTCCCACTCACTGACTCCTTGCTTCCTTGCCTCCTCTCCCCTCCCTTCTCTTCCCACAGGAGAGCCCTTTCCTTGGCAAATGTGAGGTTTCACTCAGTGGAGTGACAGAGCCTTAGAGCTGCAGAGGGTGACCCGCAGAGCAAAGAGCGGCTGGCAAACGTGCCGTGGGGTATCCAGTTACACCTCCCTGCGGGGAAGCCCAGCTGCCCTCAGGGGGCCTTGCTTTTTACTGGGATGGATAACCCGGGAGGTCAGAACGCTGTTGGAGAGGGCAGAACCTACAATTTCCAACTTCATTTTGCCCCGGTTTCTGAAAACTCTTTCTCTGGGTGTGTCTCAGAGTTGGAAGGACACGCCCCAGGACACGGCAGTGCCGGCTGCAGGGCAGCTGCACCTCACACCTGACGCTGCCCCAGCCCAGGCACTTGGAAACAAAACTCAAGAGATGCTGCTGTGACCACTTCAGCATCTTTTTTTTGTGTCTTTATTCAAAAATCTAATCAAAAATATTACTTGGCTTGTGTTTCACAGCATCCAATTAATTTATCTAGTGTTCTTTCTGAAGGCTGCTCAACTGACTTGATGAGCACAAAGCTATTTTTTTCTCAAATTGTCTGGTTATTTACTCAATTTTTCTTCAAAAAAAAAAAGAAGCCTTATATGTAGCTGCACCACGGACAAATTTTCATGATGTTTTTTTGAGGTGCTGTGGCCTGTGAGGCAAATGGGACAGTATCAGTTGGAACTCAGATCCAGGGAGCTGCCCTTGGTATAATGGTGTCCTGATGCAGATATGCTATTGAGAGGTAGTTACAATTGAAATTTGGTGTAGGTTGGGTTTTTAACTCCTTTGTTTTCCTAACCCACGTTGCACACTGTGCAGTTTTAGTGGTGAACGTGGTGCTGCTGCTGGGTTGACGATTGACTTGATGATCTTAAAAGTCTTTTCCAACCTTAATGATTCCCTGGCTGGGACATGCCAACACTTTGTCTCTGATGGTACATTTATAAGTAGTGTTATGCCTATTGCTGTGGTATTTGGGAACAACAGCAATACAAGTGTATTTTTTAGTATCAAACCTGAGGTTGTTGGCAGAGAATTATGGCCCACCGAAAAAAAATTGTCATGGGTTTCACATTCCAATACCTTGGACCATCTGATGGGATGCAGAGATCTCCATTTTGGAAAACCCTTTTGGTTTGGATTCTGCTTTGTGAGTAAACATTTGCTTCAACAGATTACAGGGAATTTTTTTTATTGTGGTTTTTCAATGCCTAAAGATAATCACAGAGGCTTTGTAGATAGTGAAAAGGGCTGTTAACTAAGAAATCTCTTGCCAGACTTGTGTTCAGTGGAAAAACTCGGTGGGGGGGAGGAAGGAAAATGCCCCAAATTAAGAGGAGTTTGCCCAGGAAAATTTTGTATTGGAACTGAAGCTTAAGATCAGCAAATGCTTTTGTAATTGCGTGTTGTGGGTCCTGATCTCCTACTAACTCCCATTGTATCCTGTGCAAACGGAATTGGACTCAGAATGTCTTTATTTAACATCTGTGGCCAGCTTTGCTATTTTTTCTTTATGCCATTAAGGAATTTTGGAATGGAAAATAAGCCAGAGAGGACAAATTCATCCCTAGTATTTTTCTGTAAAGCTAATGGAATTATCCCAGCCATAACTCACTCTGTGTGATTTAATCAAGCATTCCTTTGGTGTGAATGGCTATTTTATAGACCACACTCCAGTAATTAATTACAAGAAAAATGAATATATAACCTCTGGACTTCCTAGTGCAGAGGATGATGTTTGCTGTTCATACTCTGCATGTCTACAGATCTCTGCCTGAGCATCTGCTGACACTCTTCTTACAAATCTGACAGACAACATAGTGTGAGAAATGAGAAAATATTAATACTGCTTAGTTCAGATGGGGAAATAGTGCTGAACCTAAACACGTAGTAAATGTGTGGGAGAACTAGAAACACTCTTTTTTTTCAGAGTAGAGCTCTGTCCTCTCCTGGAGTGAAGGCACGGAATTGTTTGTAACTTTAGAACCTGGAGTCTCCTTTATGAACAGACTGGCAGTGCTGTGGCCATAACACACTAGCTTGGATCAAGTTCAGGAGGGCATGTGAAAAGTCTGGAAGCTTTGGGGTTTGCAGGTTTGATAGTTTTTTTTTAGGAGTTCTAATGAAGAAGTAATGTCTTTTCCAGAGGAGGAACATAAGAAATGAAAATTGGGCTATTAATGGAATTAAAGGTTTTCCTACTTGCTGATAGGAAAAGTATTGTGGTTATGCAGACACAGGATGGAAAGAGAAGAATTGCCCCAACTCTGTTTGGTAAAAGTAGGGTCAGAGGCAAAGAAAATCATGCTCTCCCCTTAATTCAAATAGTTGTCTTATTTTGATAGTTGAGTGGCTTTTATATTATTACCAAAATCCAAAGTGGGAAAAGAAGAATGCTAATTTAAGCAATCTGATCTCTCTGTTCTTCCAGTGCATCACAGAATATCAGCTTAAAGCTGTCACAGCTGGTTTTTCAGAGTAGTGTTCTTTGGTGGCCTTACATTTGTGAATATCTTATCTAAAAACTCAAGGCTGTGTAAGGGTTTGGGGGTTTTTTGGAGGTTGGTTTGTTTTGGACTTCCTCAGAGACAACAATAATGAGTGCACGGCCAAGTTCTGAGTTTTTCTTTGGCGTTTTAGGAGACAAAATGTAAATTTACAACTGTTCAGTGCTGTCTTGGTGTGTCTGAAGGCAATTGATAAGCAGAACTGGACATAATAACTGTGAATTCTGCCCTTTTGTGCTAGAACTTATAAAATCTAAATGCACCTACAAGTATTTTCCATCTCTGAGGCTTTTGTGATCGCTGTATTGCCCGTGTGGGAAATGAGGATTTGAAACCTTATTGTCACCCTTAATGGAGACATTGTGACAGCTCTAAAATGAATTCCATGTGATTGCATGGATGCTTTCTTGTTCCTCTGGAAGGATTTATCTGGGGTCCCTCTCAAAGTAGCTGTTTATACAGATTACAGGAGACAGTAAGTATTGCCAGTGCCAGAAGCTCCAAAATCTGTGAGCCAGCCAAAATGTTGTGACATGATCCAAAAGGCTGCTAGAGCATCACTTAGAGCTTATTTTTCTACTGTCCTAACCC